GGGGGGACCTGCTGGAGAGCAGCTCTGAGGAGAAAGACCTGGGAGTCCTGGTGGGCAACAAGTTGCCCATGAGCCACCTGCTCCATGGGGCAGCCCCCCACCCCGTCTTGTCCTGGCAGGACCCTGCTCTTGGGAACTGGGGCTGGGGTGGCTGGTCCCAGCCTCCTCCCTTCTCCTCTGGGTTCTGGGGGGGCTGTGACCCCCAGGGGCACCACAGGAGAGGCAGGGGACCCGACCCCGGCAGGAGACACCTCTCCTGGATACCTTGAGCAGGACTGGAGGCACCGGCATCACTCTACAGGATGCTGTGGATGCGGGAGGAGTGGGGCTGTGGGGAGGGGGCTGCAGCCCCCCACGAGCTGCCCCCAGCCCAGGGAGACACAGGGAACTTCCAGAGACACCCCCATCCCACAGCGAGTCTTTATTCCTCTGGGAGCCAGGGGGGAAGGCAAGCAGGGGAGCAGCCAGCCTGGCAGGGACACCCCCAAAACCAGCCTGACTGTGTCCCCCTCCCAAACCCATGGCCACCCCCATCCCTGGGGGGAAACCCCATGATCAGCTGCATCCAAAAGCCCCATCTGCAGCTCTGCTGAAGGTCCCCGATGTGTCCCCAGGGCTGGAGGCTCATCCCAGGAGGGGTGGCACCGTGGCAGAGCTTCAGCTGGGAATGGGGGCTGCAGCAGGGCTGTCCCCATGCCCCCAGCCCCAAATGCTGTCCCCTCCCATCCCACCATCCCGATGATGTTGTTGTCTTCCATTCTGGACCCCTCTCCCTCACCGTAGTGCGGTGGCATCAGTGGCATTGAAGCTCAGCGTCCCCCCACGGCTGCCAGGGCTGTGTCTTCCAGGAGAAGCCCCCAGGAGAAAGGGGAGGTCCCCGAGGATGGTCCTGCCTGAGGGGGTCAGAGATTGGGGCTGGGGGTGAGTGTCAGCCAGGGGGGACCTGGCGAGGGGTCACCCCCCCATTGGCAGTGGGGTCTCCAGCCTCACCTGCGCTGAAGTCCCACGGCTGGTCCTGGCGTCGCTTCCCTGCCAAAGAGACCAACAATGTCTTGAGGGGCCCTGCAGGCTCCTCGCCACGGCCCAGGCAGGCCATGCTGTGCCACAACGTGCCGTGCTGGGCCATTATCCTCCACCATGCCATATCATGCACCCAGTGGCATGGGCGGACCAACCCAGGGGATGGAGGCACCATCACGAGGGATGGAGGCACCATCACGAGGAACAGAGGGACCGTCACGGGGGATGTCACCTTTCAGCCATTCACAGTTGTACTTGCTGAATGTGCCCGTGGACTCAAGCTGGATGTGGGTTTTCTTCCAACGTTTGGTGATTCTGGTGACCACGAATCTCTCGTAGGGCGGGATCAGGACCTCCTCCTCATTGGGGTACATGGAAAAGTGCCTGATGGGGACACCATAGCAGGTGGACACCGAGAAGAAGGTGTCCTTGGAGAATTTCTTGGCAACCGACTTCAAGAAGGAGGTGGAGGTGAATTGGCCAAAGCGGACGAGATCTCGGCGCCGGGCCCTGAAGCGGATGCCCTGGACCCCCCGGTAGACCTGGTAGCACTGGGGGGGCTGGTCTTTCCGCAGGATTCTCAGGGCCTGGGTCAGGAGGAAATGCAGCGTCTTGAAGTGAAATTTGTTCAGGTATTCCTCGCGGGAGCTCCCGCCCTCACGCACGGCTGTGTTGAACTCCTTGTACATGCCTCCAGGCATGGTGTACGCCAGGAGGGCCACCGCATGCTCCGTCCGCAGCGAAGGTGGCTGGGGGACATGACCCTCCTGCTTCCGCCATTCGGCAGCAGCCTGGGCCCAGTACGTGGCGTAGACGCTGTTGTTGGCGAACTCGGTGCGGTTGAGCTCCCCCAGCTCCTTCTCCATCATGGACATGCAGCCCTGGTACTGGTCATCAAAGGAGGTGGGGGCCATGTCCAGTACCTTCTTCTCAACCCTCTTCAGGTTCAGGGTGTTGCTGGCAGCCAGAGCCCCAGCCAGCAGTGCCAATCCCAGCACCAGGTGCTCCATGGACATGGACCTGTTGGAAAGGGTCCATTGGAGGGCCATGGAGATGCTCCAATGGCTGGAGCCCCTCTCTTCTGAGGATAGAGAAGTTTGTGAAAAGGAGGCATTGATGGTGCTGGTAGCTGGTGTCCCTCCCCGCTCCCCAGGCACTGCTTGGAGGACTCCCAGTGGGGGTGTGTGGGGGGCAGCACCCTGGTCCCCGCACGGCTGCAGCCCCCTCATGTTCCCCCACGGTTTCTGGGGCTCCTTGGACAAACCCTGGTTACCCACCTGCCGGGAGGAAGGAGCCCAAATCCCTGGAACCTGCTGTGAATTCCCGAGGAGCTTCCCTGCAGCCGCTGCCCCGTCTGGGTCTCACCCTGCCCCGGGGGGAGACGGGCACCCTCGGGGAAGGGGTTATATCTCAGCGGTGGTCGGTGTGATGCTCACAGCCCCTGTGGTCCGTCCTACTGTGCTGACAGCCCCTTCCTCTCTTCCTGGAAGGGACCAGATCTTCTCAGAAATGACTGCGGTTGTTCAAAGGGGATGGTTCACCGTGAGAGACTTTGTTTAACCTCCAGTTTAACTTTCATTTTTGGCAATTTTTTGTCCCCCCCCACAACAGAGCTGGTAGGAGGGGACCACCCCCTGCCCCCTGTCCTCTGCACCTGGCGATGGAGAGGGACCATCCAAGTAGATGGAGAGACCACCCCAGGGGTGGAGGAACCATCCTGAGGATGGAGGAACTGTGCCAGAGGATGGAGGGACCATACTGGGGTATGGAGGGATCATCCAGAGGATGGAGGGACAGTCCCGGAGGATGGAGGGACCATCTCTGGCAATGAAGAGACTGTCCAAGGGGATGGAGAGACCATCCCAGGGGATGGAGAGACCATCAAGGTGGATTGAGGGTCTATCCAGGGGATGGAGGGACCGTCATGGGAGAAGTCACCTTTCAGCCATTCACAGTTGTAGGTGCTGAATGTGTCCCAGGAGTGGAGGTGGATGCAGGCTCTGTCCCCGTGTTTGGTGATGTTGGTCACCTTGAATCTCTCGATGGGTGGGATGAGGACCTCGTCAAGGTAGAAGGAGAAGTCTCTGATGGGGATGCTTTAGCAGGTATACACGGAGAAGAATGTGTCCACACCAAAGTCCAGGGCGCTCTAGTTCTGGAGGGAGGTGGAGGTGAATTGGCTGAAGCGGATGAGATATTGGTGTTGAGCGGTGAAGTGGATGTCATGGATGCCCCATTAGACCTGGTGGCCGTGGCTGGACTAGGCTTTCTGCAGGGTGCTCATGTCCTGGGTCAGGAGGAAATGCAGCACTTTGAGGTGGAATTTGTCCAGTTATTCCCTGTGGGAGCATCCGGTCTCGTGCATGGCCCAGTTGAACTCATGGTACAGGGTTGTATGGTGGGTGTATGAAGGGTCTATGCCAGGAGGGTCACCACATGCTCCCTCTGCAGCCCTGGCATCTGGGGCACATGAAGCCCTCTCAGTTCCACCATTAGGCAGCATCCTGGGTCCAGTACTTGGCATAGACATTGCTGTGGGTGAGCTCAGTGGGGTTGAGCTCCCCCAGCTCCTCTCCATCGCGCGGGTGCAGCCCCGGTACTGGTTATTGAAGGTGGTGGGGGCCATGTCCAGTCTCATCTCCTTGGTGGGCTCCAGGTCTCACCTGGGCAGGGGGTTGATGGCAGCCAGAGCCCCGGCCAGCAGCACCAATCCCAGCATCCAACACTCCATGGACATGGACCTGTTGGAAAGGGTCCATCAGAGACCATGGAGATGCTGGGAGGGCTGGAGCCCCTCTGCTGGGAAGGGGGGCTGAGAGAGTTGTGGGGGTTCAGCCTGGAGAAGAGAAGGCTCCAGGGAGACCTTGGAGCCCCTTCCAGTCCCTCAAGGTCCCTCCCCGCTCCCCAGGCACTGCTTGGAGGACTCCCAGTGGGGGTGTGTGGGGGGCAGCACCCTGGTCCCCACATGGCTGCAGCCCCCTCATGTTCCCCCACGGTTTCTGGGGCTCCTTGGACAAACCCTGGTTACCCACCTGCCGGGAGGAAGGAGCCCAAATCCCTGGAACCTGCTGTGAATTCCCGAGGAGCTTCCCTGCAGCCGCTGCCCCGTCTGGGTCTCACCCTGCCCCGGGGGGAGACGGGCACCCTCGGGGAAGGGGTTATATCTCAGCGGTGGTCGGTGCGATGGTCACAGACCTCACGTTCTGTCCTACCGCGCGACAGCCCCTTCCTCTCTTCCTGGAAGGGACCAGACCTTCTCAGAAATGACTGCGGTTGTTCAAAGGGGATGGTTCACCGTGAGAGACTTTCTTTGAGCCCCAGTTAACCTTTTGTTTCTGACAATTTTTGTCCCCCCCACATCCTCCTCCTCCTCCTCCTCCTCCACCCCAGGTGGGATCCCTTTAATGTGCTGCTGCCCAGGTTTCTGCCACCCCATGCTGTCCTATGTAATGTCATGCCATGCCATGCCATGCCATAACATGCCATAACATGCTAAGCTGTCCTGTGCCCTGCTGTCACCAGCCCTGGAGGGATTTCTAAGCCAGCTAGACGTGGTGCTGAGGGACGTGGGTCAGTGGTGGGTCTTCTCTAAGCAGAGATAACTCGCAGGGAGCTACAAGAACAGCTCAGCCCGTGGTTGTCTCAAGATTGTGTCACAATAAGACCGGAAACTTCCCAGGGACTGAGCGACCACACCTGAGAGAGAGGGGAAGTGATGAAGAAGCACACATATGGTAAAGGGCATGCTATTGAGATGGTGATTGGTTCCCTCTTTTATGATATCTAGCGCGCTTGTGGTTTGTGGTGTTACTTTTGGGGATGACTTGTGGTTTGTAACACTGTATTCCGTGAACTGCTGTGAAATTGCGATGGTGCATTGGCCATTGTACCCACAGAACCTGCAACAGTGGTGCATTGAGAGTGAGCTCCAAAGACATTGTTCATTGGGACCTCTCAGGGAAGCCCTTTTCCCTTTCCATCACAGTTTGTCAGCGTTGGGTTGACGGTTGGACTCGATGACCTGAGAGGTCCCTTCCAACCTCCACCCTTCCACAATTCTGTGCTTTTTAGATATTGACAATCACAATCTTAATATCACAATCTTAATAACATGCCCTATGTGTGCTTTAGATATTTTATGATTTTACATTTGTACATTTAAGAGCTGTACCAGAAGCTGAGGGGATGGCCATGACCTTGGAATCCCACCCTAACTCTGTGTGCAGTAAATGGCAGAGCGTTCCCCACTCATCCATTTGTGTTTATGAAATATTTTACATCCCTGCCTTTCCTGTTC